ACCCTCCCCACCTCCTCCCCCCCCCCCCCCCATCTATACGCCCGTACATCTCACAACCGACCCTGTGAATCCGCACTGATAGAGGAGCGTTCCAGCCTCTGCTTCGGCCTCTTCCTCTCCCTGCTCGATACGACCATCGTCGCGACCGCCCTCTACACCATCTCCCTCGCCTTGTCGCCCACCTCGCTGCCGCTCACTAACTGGGTGGCGCTCGCCTACACACTCTCCTATCTCGGTTTCGCCGTCACGTTTGCACGCGTCGCCGACATCATCGGTCGTCGAGATGCCTACATGGCCGCCTTTATCATCTTCTTTGCATTCTCCATCGGGTGTGGCTTCGCGCAAACACTCACCCAGCTGATCGCGTTCAGGGTCCTGCAGGGCATTGGGGGATCGGGACTCTATAGTCTGACCTTCGTGATCATGTCCGAGATCTCGCCCGTCCGCATGCAGCCGCTGACGGGCGCGTTGGCCGGCGCCGTCGTGGCCATGGCTGGGGTCCTCGGGCCAGTGCTGGGGGGCCTCATTACCGATTTCACGACATGGAGATGGGTATTTTGGATCAAGTGAGTTGGCAACCTGCGCGACCTGCATCTTCTCTGATACCCGTGTTGACGCGGAGGGTAGCGCCCCAATCGGCATCGTCCCCCTCATCATGTTCGTGATCGCCTACCCACCTCCGTCCATGCTCTCCCCCGTCCGTCTACGTCCCTGGAAAGACCTCGATTTCTTCGGCGCGGCTCTCGTCATCGCCGCTTCGGTGCTGGTGGTCTTTGCCTTTCAGCAAGCAGGCCTCCATCCCCACTCCTGGTCCTCCGCCCTCTTCCTTGCCCCGCTCCTCGTCGGTCTCTTCCTCTGGCTCGTCCTCCTCGGCTGGGAGGTTCTCGTCTCCCGGAAGTGGGAAGCCCGCATCGCGACTATGTTCCCCCTCCGCCTGCTGAAGCGACGGGTATTCATGGGCCACTTCTTCGCCACCCTGCTCGCCGGCTTCCCCTACTTCGTCGTCATATACTCCCTGCCCCTGCATCTCCAGGTCGTCAACGGCAAGAGCCCGCTCGTGTCGGGCATTGCGCTCCTGCCGATGCTGGCGTCGATTGCCATCACGAGCTCGGTCGCGGGCTTGCTGAACAGTAAACGGGACTACATCTGGCCGACGCTGCTCGGGGGGGCGCTGCTCATGGTGATCGGATGCGCGTGCCTCGCGACGCTGGACCCGGTGCCCGACGTCCAGGCGAAAATGTACGGGTTCCAGGTCTTTGTAGGCCTGGGCTTTGGACTCCTCGTGTCCACCGTCTCGCTTGGGGCCAGTCTCGAATGCGAGCTGAGAGATAGGAGTACGTGTTGATGTTTGCACTGTCTCTACCCCCCTCTCCTCCCTCCTCCTCAAAGCCCCTTTTCCCT